GCTGGCTACGCCCCTGGTCGCTGTCGTTTTTATTTCTTCTTTATCCTGTTGAAGACCTGCATTGGCCATCTTGTAACTCAAGACGGTCTTTTCACGTTCCTTTGATCTCATCATTCTTTGGTAATTCCACATAGTCCAGTCCAAGTTTGCAATTATGCAGACACCTGGCAAAAATGAAAGTTATTAAACTTGTCGGTCATTTTCGTTTTCTGTGGTCTAATGAAGCTTGCTTTGATGTTTTGGTAAAATTTCTCTCCAAACTTAATTCGAAAGAACTAATTTCATGTAGCATAAAGCTGTGTAAGTGTATTTCGCAATTTCAGATAAAAATAATCACTGAATAATAATGCCAGTAGAAATGTTTAACTCCCTCTCACTAAGCCATTCACCCAGGAAGAAGCTTATTTCACTCAATAATTCACAGGAAATTTATCCCATTTTAATTTTCCATGCTGATTCATTTTAGTCACAATACCTTCACCATCAAATGACATCTGACAGATTATATACAGATAGAACAGACAACTACAGTTTACAATTTCAGGCAGACCACTGTCCACCGCTGCTCACGAAAAACCACACTGATATAGACTTTAAAAAATTGTGATCATTTAGTTATTTTACGCCAAATTTTATTCTTGGTTACGGTTTTGTACCCATTGATTTTTTTTTCCAACTCAAACAGTCATTGAATTATCAATGATTTCTCGGAGTGCAGGATGTCCTCACCCTCCCCCCGTTGATCCGCCGCTAAAAGTGTTTGACACGATTAAATCCACGGTCACAACGAACATTCATGTAATTAAGATTACTGTTCCTCTTTAATACTTTTTTCACCCACGTTCCGACACATATTTAGTAATAAACCTTTAGGGTCGGTTTTTTAAACGAAGTCTAACTTATTAAACCGCGCTTTAACAAATCTTTGGACATTCGGATGCTTTTCTAGTCTACTCTACATGTATATGCTTGAGGGATTTTGTTAAACACTGACTAAACTACGTTTAAAAATCTGGCCCTTAATTTCCATACCCGAAGAAGACGAATTATGCTGATATCAACAGCAAAACAATTTTACCACGGTATACTCCTGATTGTATCCCATTTTGACATTGAAAACTATATATATCCATAGATACAGACGATACAGAGGCCAAACATAAAAATGATTTACAAGACATTTTTGGTCACTTTGATATTGACAACTTCATCAAAAGTTGGTAAAATATCTAAAAGAACTTAAATTGATGACACCGAGGACATACGTATCATAAATCTTGAGAAAATTTTTTTGGAAATCAGGAATTATTGAGGTAAAAACGACTGGAATCCTGATTCAATTCAGTTACGTAACATGTTCATGCACAGGTAACTCAAGCTCGAAAATTTTGTGCAAAAAACAGTTGTTGCTTCTTAAAGACTTGGTAATATGAAACAAATTTCAAGTAAAAACTGCATACCTTACTTCAGTTATTTGTTTCTCCTTTCGTGTGTAGTCCCTGCAAAATAAATACCCATAAAAATCCTTATATTTCGAAGTTTAGCAAAACAGTGCCGACGCCCATATTTCGTGCTTGGAAATGACCTGTGGTTCAGCGCTTAAAACGCGGGATTACAACGACGGAAAGAAGCTACGATTTAAAAGAAAAGCAAAATGAAAATCATAGCAATGTCGTAGTAGCTGAACAGCTTAAGGGTAGATCTTCCTCGTGCGATAAATCAAAAATGGACAACACAGTCTGACCTTTCACCGCGTGTATACTGATCGCGTGAGCCGAAAAGTGATTTCAACACGTGAGCATTTTTGATCGTACGTGTTCGTATTTTAATGTCAATCAGCAGTTTTGAAAATACATCAGTGTTCAAATGAAATAAGGACCAATAAACTAAATATAATTAAATCTCAAGTCATTCAAAGCACAGAGAACAATGCTCAAACTTTTTCAGAAAAATGAAGAACAGATTGTGCCTAACGAAAGTACCGCTAAACAGGTTTCACTTAAGAGACAACAGTCTGGGAGAAGGTACAAATGTTACTCTAAGTGCTGTCAATTAATCCCTACCAGACAAGTGTTAAGTGAGATTTATTCATCTGCAACATCTTAATATGTACTTATAAGCCTATCAGGATTTTGCTCAGCAACCCAAAAAATATTTTTACCAACATTTTCCAACCTTGCTCGCTCCTTTGAACCAGGATCTAAAATTCTCGAATAACCATGTTAACCATCTTCGTACTTGAAATGTGGTGGAGGCAAATTCCTAAGAATTTTTCTGCCCCTTTAACAAGCCTTTTCAGCAGGAAATGGAGAACGGGGGGAGTAAAGGGTAAGGCCTGATAACATTGGCCTTCGGCTCTTATTCCAATAAGACAATTTTGAGCCGGTTACGAATTTAAAATGCATTCAGTATTGGCTCTGAGATTTATGGGAATAAAACAAAAGACCGGGACTTTGCTTCAACAAATTTTTAGGGAAGATTGATTCTAAAAATACAACGACACGAACGACGGCCACGATAGGTTAAACGAGACACTCAGATAAAATAAAAAGTAATTGAAATTTACCTTTATGTTTTTAAAATACATACGTTTATTCTGAGAAATCTGACCGATTTCCGTAAATCGGAGAAAGCGGTGTAGACCCGCGCCAGACTACAAATCGTCATTGTCGAATGCGAATCTAAAAAGTCACAGTTGAATTCATATGGAATGTCGGACAAATGAGTATGAAAAAATGAAAAATATGTAATAATAGGTAAGAACAAAAAAAAAAACAGTAATAACTTGGAATGATAACTTTGGATAGGATTAATGATACCCAGCCCCAGATTTGCCCTCTTGATATCTGGAAGCACCGTCTTAAGAAGTTCAATGTTTTCCATCACGATTTTTTTGAAACCAAACTATTTCCCGCGGATTCCAAGAAACCGTACAGACGGTACAAACCTTCCTTCAATGCCGTGCATCTCGAATGAACTGGTCAATTGCCACAATTAATGATGAAAATATTTCAAGCAATGTACATTGCATAACAGTGATTGTTATTGTCAACTTAGGTAGGTATCAACTTTATGTACTTCGTTTAATTCTGTAAGCATTGTAAGTTATTCTATAAAAAAGGTATTTCAAAATTCTCGTAGTATTTTACAGCAGGTTTCTTGAGGAGACTTGCACCTCTATTTTAATTGTAGAGACGAAATGGGAACAGGTGGATGAAAACCTGATCACAAAGTGGGGGCGGGGGAGCACTACGTGGTAGACCAAGATAGGATAAGTGGACAGATTAATTAAGAAATTTTGTTGCACTTACTCAGTAAAAACGAAAATATTATCAATGATTTATCCAAGACTTTCTGAAAATCGAAAAAATTATAACAGCAAGAAAAACCAATCTGTCCTAATCGCAAAAATTTGTTCCCGCAAAATACAAAAAATCGCCAATCCGCAAAAATTTCGTGCCACACGGCCGGATTGGCTATAGCGAGACAGGTTTACAACTTGCGCTGACTCATCTGTCTAAACTGACTGTTCCCTTATTCTCCCTTTGCTTATAGAGGATGATCACCAGTAATGTTGCCGGTCAACAAAGCACCAATGCTTGTCTTAGTTCGAACTGTTTTGCCTTAGGCTGTATCTTGCGCGCCATAATGGACAGGAAAGCCGGGAATATATGCCAGCACGACCATTGAGTTACTCACAGTTGGGTGTAACCCCAGGGCGTATTGGTCTACAACTGTTTTTTTGGTCGATAAATTACGAGTGGACTAAATTGACAAATTAGCGCTTATTATCAGCTAGTAAAGGTCAGTCACAATACCATGCAGATAAGTTCTAAAGCTGTAAAAGAAACCGAAGTTGAAACAAAGATAGCGCGCGCAGTGAAGTTGGGGTCATGTTTTATCCATTCTTCCGAACATCTGCCGATGAAAGCAAGAGTCTTTGTTAAGGCAATTTGTCACCTTTTTCTTCGTCTCGAATCTCCTCAGATGTTCTTAATGAACACAGAGATTGGTAAATTTTTCGTTAATATCTTATCGAACAGAATTTACAGTTTACCCAATTTACTCCACCGTACCTGCGAGAATTCTTCCAGACTTGTCTAGAAGAAGTAAGGGCCACTACTTGCAAAGGTAATTGCAATCATTCTACAAATAAGGTCAAGAATCAAAGAGATGAGAGAAGATAAAAACGTGGACAGCCTCACAAAGTTTCAGGTATACACGGTTTTGGTTCGCCACTATTTCACTGAGAGGTACCATATCAGTAGGAGACTAACTTATAAAAGAAATATGTATTATTTGACTTTCGCCTCCTCTTGGACCTTACCTCGCTCCCAACCCGCCTTAACTCGCCCTAACTCACAACTTCAGGTTATGTTCAAACTTCCTTAAATCGCCTTAAGTTAGTATGTTCAGACAGCAAAAAGTCAAAAGCTAAGTCACTTTTTTCCGACACATGTTCCTTTCTAGGCCGGACATGATTTTAGTATCGCGTGACACGAAAGTTGTAAAACATTTTTGTGCCCCATCACAAAACGAAAAGTCCTATCGAAGTCAAAACTTGTAAAAGCCCTGAAACTGAGTAGAGATATCCTGAAACTAAAAACTCAGAATGATCGATATAATTCTTTGATTGAAATTTAATTTTTATTACGTCACACGCAAACCTCTGGCAGTCGTTCATTAAAAGTTCATTTTCTGGTTAATCAATTTCCACCTTGCACCTTGTTAACAGTTTGTTTCGTAAGGTCCTTAGAGTTTACTGATCTTTATCGCCGTGTTAGTGCTGGCTGGAATATTTTCACGTGCCGGCTTATGCAGTGTTTTCAGCCTGCGGTGATGTAACAACAGAAATGAATTGGTTCTAGCGGGGGGTTGATGCGTGATCTATCTTTTCCGACGGTGGATGTCAAAAACAAATGCCGCTTCATCTTAGATATATATATACGGCTATCACTTCATTAGACATATCTGAGAAATTCATTGAAACAGAGTAGTCAAGTCTGCTGAGGTCATGGGAGCATAATTTGTTTTATCTTTTTTGAATGGAAACCGGACCGGATTTCTACTGTGAAAACCAAGACTGAACTACAACCATCGTTAAACGCTTGAATTGATTTAAGATAGTTGTTTGTTGTTTTTTCAAAGCAGTTTTTGTTTCGAGTGGACATTTTGCTGACTTATAGCCATGAAACAAGTCACTCCAGTCACCGCAACATTGAACGACACCTTTAATACGACAATGCTTCCGAAAACAAGCAAGACAGAGGTCCTGACATCTATCCCTGAACCACCTGGAATGACTGTGACAAGACTTGTTCTTTTTGGAATTGTATTTGTAGCCGCCATGATTGGAAACTTCTTCGTATTTACTGCGTCTTTCAGAAATCGTCGACTTCGTACATTCAGCTATTGTCTTATCATGAACCTTGCTATTAGTGACTTCATAAGCATTCTCGGAGTTCCGTTTCTGATTGTAAACGAAGAGCTTCAACCAACCTGGATATACGGCTCATTTCTCTGCAAGTTTATTAACCCAACACAGGTTGTTTGCGGATTAGTGACCACGAACATCCACGTTGCTATAGCAATCGATCGATATTTTTCCATCGTTCGGCGTTCATTTCGATATAGTTCGGCTCCACGCTGCCGGTCACATAAAGGATTTATGGTTGTGCTACTTATTTGGGTTATGGCAATTGTTTGTGGTCTTCCCGCTTACACCTTCAGAAAGCTCATATCTTTTACTTCTGCTAAGTCAGGCTTGAAAGCGGAGTTTTGCATAGAGTTGTTCCCATCAATGGGTGATATAAAACTTGGATGGCGTCACATCTACTCCGTTTTCCTTTTTCTCATCAATTACTTGCTTCCTATTTCTATTTCGACGGTTCTCTATGGTATAATTGTTCGTCATTTGAAGAAAACAGAACTGAAGCGGAGAAAATCAGGACGAAAAATAAGTCAAAGCAGCGGCAGTGAACCCAAAAATTCAGATCTTTGTCACACGAGTACTTATCTCGAAAGGCGTTTTATTTTCATGGCTGTTGTCATAGTCATCATATTTTTCGTTTGTTATTTACCTTTCCAAGTTGTTTTTCTGCTCTTTGAGTTCAACTATGGAGTTTCATGGCCGTACATTCGTATTGTTACAAAAATAATTTATTTTCTTACTTGGCTTCCAAATGCGTTGAATCCACTATGCTATGGAGCCATGGACCAACGCTACGCATCGGCTTTTAGAAGGATTTGTGCATCAACCCAAAATACCAACGAAAAAAAGAACCAAAATAATTCCCTTTCGCGAGGACAATCAGCCAGACTTACAGAAGAAGAAGTATAGGATTAGAAAATTCAAGAAGTTAGAAACAGAAATAAATACTAGACTTAAAATACTGTCTAAGCTGATCAATAAGTTATTACTAGGCTTTTGGGATGAATAGTTTATTTAAATATTTTTCCGTCAGCCTATTGGACACGGTTTTTTATCTAACAAATTTTTAGATATCATTTTGCAAAAATCTTGACGTTTTTCCTGTCAATGATACAAATGTAACCGCTGTTTATAAAATGGCACTGTTTCGCCATCTTATAAACAACGCCCACGAAATAAATTTATAGCTGCGTCGTTCTTGCTTGTGCCTTTAACTTGAATTTAATGCATACTTGTAGATTTACCAGTTTTTGTCCTTTCGTGATGAGGCTTTAGCGTTTCGTGATAAGTCAGTGGTTTTAAACAAAAGGGTGTTGATTTTATCTCAGTTGCCTTTAAAAATAGCAATAGAAAAACATTCTCATAGTCATTAAATCAAAACCATTTTTTCAGACCCGAGAACCATGACGCCCCCGCCTCTTCGAGGGACTTAACTGAAAAATGACGGGAGTCTTGCTTCGTCGTTGTGGTTCAGGCTAACAGGTGATGAAAAGTTAGTACTTTCAGTTGAGTAACAACCATCAAAATGTAATAAATTCCTTAGGGCTTTTTGGGCTTAAATTAAGGCACCTTAGGCGGTTAGAATCCATAAATTTTGACCTTAAAAGTTACGATGAGCGCTCATCACTTTTGTAGGGAAGTGCGCCCACCACCACCCCTTTGTCCCCCCATACCACCGCCGAAATGATCGCTAGCTTTTTCTTTTCTCAGATGTGTGTGACGACCACCCTTAACTCTTTCGCAACTGAAACCTGTCGCCGAATATGCATTGCCGAGTCTTTTTGATAAACTTTGGAATTAGTCCAGTGTTCAATAGATTCATCGATATCACTTTGAATTATCGCAAAAAGCCTTGAGAAGTAGTTACCTCATACCGCATTGACCTTTTTTTTAAACTTCTTTCAACAGTTTTCACATCACTCTCACCTTTTATAGCTTTAACCCATTTTTTTTTAGACGGGAAGTTTCGAGTTCCAGGCCAAACAAAGAACAGTCTTACACAGGTCAAGACGACACGTGCAGCCGGCTGACTCATAAGACAGCTACAGGTAGCTGCACGTGTCGAGTTAGTTGATTCAGTTATGTAAGCATTCGCAAACTATCTTCAGATCAATAATACGAGTGTATGTTTGGTGAATTTTGCTAACTGCGTTTAACTGTTCCATACTAAGCAAATTAATCATCGTCTAAAGTACCTCTCGAATGTGTGCAATCAAGAGATAAAACAAGGGGTAATAAGATTTAGAGTTTGCTGGCAGGATCTCTACCAAACAATTAAGCCTAGTTATCTTCACCTATCTTCTACAGTTGAACGATATCTATGGTGATAATGGTCAAAGATTTATTTTCTGACACAGTCACAAAATCCTTGGAGCCTTGTTATCTCTTATATTTTTGCGTGCATGTACCTTGAGTTCTTTGTTAGCTGTAACGTCCTGTATCTCGCGCCATATATGTAAGCGTAATTTTGTTATCTATTGTATTTGGTACCATAGAACTTCTAGCCTGTTCCAGGCTCCGAGATAGTGGTGGAATGTCGTTCAGTAAAAAGAAATGCGAAAAATGCGCGGGGGCTGGGGAGAGACAGGGCGGCGGAGCCTGTACGCATTTTTTTAACGGCCTGTTCCGGTATATCAGCTCCTGATATACCCTCTGATTGGTCAATTGTGACAGTTAACATCATCACCTAGTAGCGTGGTCGTCAGTTTGTCATCAAAAAGATGGCTAACGCGAATCGCGCGTGTAATCTTCATGAATCCGCGTTGTCTTGTGCTTTGGACGAGTGTCTGCGACTTGGCTCGCGGTAAAGATGTTTTCGGTGTTATGCTCACCGGTTTCGGCAAAAGTTTAATCTTTCAGCTATTCCCACGCTTGGCTAAAGCTGCTCTAATCCTAGAAAACTCTACGATAGCAGTCGTTTCGCCGCTAATATCTATAATGCGAGACCAAGTGGAACAACTGAAAAAGCTTGGATTTTCGGCAGCAGCTATTTGGCATCGGTGAAAAGCGGTATATACACTTGTGCGAGTTTCGCGAAAAAGTCAGACAGTACTGTATAAATAAATTTGTGCGAACAACTTTACTCAGTAAAAACGTTATCTAGTTTAACATAACATATATACTAGTAAAAAAATTTGGGCGAACAACTCCACGCGAAGGCCATGAATCTGTAAATCAATATAAATATATACTATTAAAAAAAATTGGGCCATGAACTCCACGCGAGCTTCACCACTCTGTATTATAATAATATATACTAGTAAAAAAGTTTGGGCGATGAACTACACGCGAGGTTCACCACTCTGTATTATAATAATATATACTAGTAAAAAATTTTGGGCAATGAACTCCACGCAAGGTTGACCACTCTGTATTAAAAAAACTATATACTAGTAAAAAATTTAGGGTGGAGATCTCTACGCCCGCTTAACCACTCTGTATAATAACAAATATTACTAGTAAAAAATATTTGGGCAATGAACTCCACGCAAGGTTGACCACTCTGTATTATAAAAACTATATACTAGTACAAAATTGCGGGCGAAGATCTCTACGCCCGCTTAACCACTCTGTAAATTTGCAAATATGTTAATTCCCGGTGAAAAGGGAGAGGGGGACGAGAAGAAAGCGAGAGAAGGAAAGTGCGAAATTGTTTTCGGTAATCCAGAGTCCTGGTTGATCACAAAGTGGCAATAACAAAACAGTCCAAAGACTGTTAAGCTTATTCCGCTATTACCAAGGGAGAAACTACGCGCTCCAGTCAAAAGACTCACACTATTTTAAGAGAAACACTATTAAGCTGGAGTTTACTAAGTCACAATGCAATTCTACCTAGTTGGTGTAGCTTAAGTTTAAGCTGCACTTCATTCTTATGATGCTGGATCTGTAAATCACTATCCATGATAATTTAACATTCTGCAAAGAAAACTAACGAGCTGGGCCCAGCGTGATACAACATTGCAGAAAAATATTACATTAATTCACGGACTAAAGAAAATCACTTAGTTAGTCAGATCCAGAAGGCACTTTGGAGAAAATTAAAACCCTTATTCAGCCGCAATAAAAAGCTTTACGCTTCAAATTAGAGGTCAAAGAAAATGCTTTCTCATCAGGGGCAAATCCTGCCGACCAGAAACAAACGCCACAGTAAATCGATATGTGTGCCATGACCTCTCAGTGTGAAACAAGCGGCTAAAGTCACATTTGCTAAGTGACAATGTAGAACCTTCGAGAGCATAACCTACCCAACAGAGGAAAAAACTTACCGCCCCCTTTTATTGCTGTAAACTACAGCGAAAAAAACGGATGCTCTCACAGGATAACGAATTCGAAGACATAAATTTCCACACATATCGCACAAGAAGTTCGCGTCGCGCGAAATGCTCGCGCGAGAAACTTGAGAATGATTGTAGCTAACTGAAGTGTTAACAGCTTTGACAGCCGAATCCAGACGTGACAAAAAATGGGCGGAAGAGGGTCGTTAAAGAAATGCTAACAGGCTCTCTCTCCCATTTTTCCCGCCGCCACCCAACCTCGTCCCCAGGGCGCTTTTCCCTGGCTTTGGGGGCGGGGCGGGAAAAATGGGAGAGAGAGCCTGTTAGCATTTCTCGCCCCGCCCCCAAAGCCAGGGAAAAGCGCCCTGGGGACGAGGTTGGCCGCCACCGCCCCCTTTCCCAAGTCGTGCACGTCTTATTTTCGCTTTGCTCGTTTTAATATGTTCCCACTATACTATCTGAGAGCCTGGCACAGGCTATAGAACTTCTATCTACCGGCCTCGATTAGCTATGGCTGCTTTTGCGGGTAGATCCTTTTCCGATTTTAATTCATACCATAATAAAAATTGTGGAAGAAGCTCTACCAAGTGTTCTAGCTTCTTAGCTCTCTACTCCCGTTTCCGCCTTCGTTCGGAATAAATCCTGAGCCGGCCCAGTTGTTCGAAGGCCGATTAGCGCTAACCCATGGTTAAATTTCAACCCGGGCTTCTTTTATTCTTCTATTCCTTTTAGAGTTTCCAATCATTAAATTGTAGCCAAAGAGAATTAAACTGGATTTGCTTTTTAAGCTCTCATATCTGAGTTCAAATTTCGCACTAACCCTAGGTTATCTTAACCTAGCTTCTAACAACCCCCGGCCCTCAGGCTACAGGTAATGATCAACGTTTCGTTTCGTTGCCTCCCTCCTGTAACCATTTGGTTTATATTTAGATCCTTGCGTTTTTCTTATTCGAAGGTACTCAGTACTGGGCCATTTCTGCGCGAGAACAGGAGCGGGTGGAACTAGTATCCCGCATTTGGATAAGAGCAAGGGTTCTTTTAAAATCTTTTTTTGTGTTGAAGAACAACGATATCAAGACGCCAGTTTTGATTTAAATTCAATTTTCCTCGTGTTAAGTCAATTATAAAAGGATATTCCTATGAACTTTTTAGCGGCTTTCCAATTATGTAATTTTCCGGCCGTGAAAAATATCCGATAAACATCATATCAAGAAACAACTAACCTCGACCGGATCGGATGCCCTTGGCCTAATACGTGATAATGTTAACATATTTCTAATAGCACTTGGGGGATAAACAGTTTATTATTTTATTTAATTATTTTTTTAGTAGACCTAAATGGCATGCTTTTTTTATATGTCGAATTTTTAGCTATCATTTTACAAAAAACCTGACGTTTAATTCCTCGAAAAGTGGCAACCTCTGTTATTTGTTTTTTTTTTTTCTTCTGTCATTCATTACAAACATCTTACATCACAATCAGTCAATACCTGATAAAGAAGGAAGGAGAACCAGTCAAAAGCAAAGCTAGTAGTTAACAGAACAGGTGTTGAGCTTACAGAACAGGAGTTCAATTTTCGCGTTGCGGGCGGGCGGGGAACGCAAGACACCTAAGGCGGAAAAAAAAAGAACGCC